ACACACACACACACACATACATATATGTATATTTGTGTTGATAAGCCTGAGTGGTCTGTTGATTGACCGTTGTATTTGTTCAAATAATTGTCATGGACAGGTTACAATATAAAAAATTGTTTGTCATAATAACGTCTTGTGATTATTTGACAGGAGTTTTGCTTTTAAAATGTAAGTGTATTAAATTTAGTTATAATGTAAATACAATAAAATTAAACCAAGATTTAGAATAATTATCATTTTGATCCATACATTGGTAGTGTCTGACTGGGCCTCGTGTCACTTTATGTTCAATAAATTGGCCCCCGAGGTAAAAAAAGGTTCTGAATCCCTGATATAAACTACATGCACAGCATGTCTACCTGCTTAGAATAGAATATAATAAAAGGTGAAACTTAAGAATTTGTAGCATTACATTTTATTTCTTKAAGCTCTCATGGAAATCTGTTGGAAATGGATTTGCACAGCCTTCATCCTCCTCTTCCTTATCTTTTATCTTCTTCCTCCAGGGTGCAGTGATCACGCCAGCCATGGACCACACTATGTCCATGCAGCCTGCCAGCATGATGGGCCCTCTCACCCAGCAGATGAACCATCTGTCCTTGGGCACTACAGGAAGTGTGAGTATTCCTTATTGTGCCACAATGAATCACACACAAAAAAAAAGTCTCACGCAGGCTCGTGTAGCCGCCACAGAAAGAACTTGGGAASTGACAAATAAAAAAATGCTGATACACTCGGATACATCAGGGCAGCTTCAGCTCTTACTGTGTGGCCACAGAARTGAGATTTATGAGCTGCAGGGATTTTTGTACTACGAGATAAATTTTAAAAAATGTCACCCACTTCAGCCTTTCCTGCATAATTATCTTAAGCGGTCACAGTTGGTTTGCCTTTTAATTCATTCTGTTTGTTTTACTCATTTATACCATAAATATCTAAAGACAAGTGCACTCTAATAACCATGTACAGCAGGGCTGTTCAACTACACTGATCAGGGGGTCAGAGAGAGAGAGTTCAATTGCCCTGATGTACAAACAGAATCATCAGAAATGCAAATAATAGGATATTAATTTAGATTTAGATGATTCGACTACCAGGGTAAACCCCAACGTTTACGTCGCCGGTGGGCAGAATACTTYGAAGACCTCCTCAATCCCACCAACATGCCTTCTGTTGAGGAAGCTGAGCCTGGGGACTTTGGGTTGG